TGGTCCTGTCCACCATTAAAACCATCTTTCCAAGCAGCCTCCATGTCTCCAGTGTCTTTTTCCCACTTGGAGCCGAACCCAGAGGGACATTTCTTCCAACAGTTGTATTCATCCATTCTCCACCTGTGGCCCGCCTGCCATAGATTCGCCATTATGAGTATGGAGTCTTCTGCTAGAGCAAGATCTCCTGCAAGATCTCCAGAGTCCCTTCTGACTCTGTTATTCTGTTAACCAAATTCAGCATACTCAGCTGCTGTGTTTCTAAAGCAGTCCTCGACTTACAACAGTTCGTTTAGTGATCGAACTTAAGAGCACGGAAAATAATGGCTTATGACCATTTTTCATCATTGTAGCATCCTCATGGTCAGTCGATTTACATTCAGATGCTTGACAACCGACTCACATTTATGACGGCTGCAGCATCCCAAGGCCATGTGATCCCCTTTTGCGACCTTCTGACAAGCAAAGTCAATGGGGAAGTCAGATTCACTTAACAACCGTGTTACTAATTTAATTGCAGCGACTCGCTTAACAAATGTGCCCCCCCCCAAAAGTCATAAAATGGGGCAAAACTCACTTAACAAATGTTCTCACTTGGCAACCCTCAATTCTGAGCTCCACTGGGTCAAAAGTGGAGGATTACTTGTATTTCTCCCCCTTTCAACATTTAAGATGCGTGAACTCCAATTTCAACTTGAGTTGAAACCTGGATAGCTCAGAAGTTTGGCAAGTTGGAAAAACACTGATTTAAGTTGGGTCTGCAAGGCTTCGAAGAGTTTTTGGCCCTGGCAGTGAGTTCAAAATACAGGTAGACCCCAACTTAGGACGGTTCATTCACTGACTGTTCAGTTACAAAGGCACTGAAAAATGTGACTTATGTTAAGTGAATCCGGCTTCCCCATCGACTTTGCCCCAGGGAAAAGTCATGTCACATTTTTTTTTCCTGCGCCATTGCAACTTTGATCAGTCACTAAATGCACTGTTGTAAGTCGAGGACTACCTTGCATCAACTGCAGTGATTCACCTAAGGGGCTGGGCCAAGAAAGGTGGTAAAACGGGGCGAAAAGCACTTAACAACAGAAATGTGGAGCTCAATTTTGGGATCGTAAAGTCGTGGTCTCTCTTGTACCCAAAGATGCGTCCGTGGGGAGGGGAGGGGGGGGACATTGTTGCCTTGACAGACAGACAGAAGGAGCCTTTTGGACCCCCACTCTCACCCGCACCCCACCCCGCTTTCCGCGAGGCTGGCGATTTCCCGCCAAGGGGGGAAAAAAAGGACGCTTTTAAAGGCTCCCCCAGATCTGCCGCGCATCTTTCCCGCCGGCGCCGCAATGGTTAAACGGGCCAGCGAGCTCCGTCGCTTAGAGAGACAGGAAACGTGGAACAAACGGGGGAGGCGGCCGGCCGGCCCCGGGAACCTCTGTACTTCCCTGTCCCACCGTGCTCCGGGGGGTCGGGCACCGGCCGTGGGAAGAAAGGGGAAAAGCGGAGGATCGCTGAGCTCCCGGTGCGTGGAACGAGGAAGGCGCTCCGAGCGCAAATCGCAAGCGGCGAGGGGGCGGGCGGAGACAATTGCGCGTGGGGGCGATCGCTTGCAAGCGGGGTGGGGGGGCGCACTTTCTTGCTTTCTTTAGCCCACGTAGCTCCCCCCACACACACTTGGAGGGGGAAATGCTTTGGCTTTCTTTTACTAAAGCTGCCCCATCCCGTGGCAAAGATCGAGGCTTATCTCCTCCCCACCCCAACAAAACTTGTAAATAAGCTTTGTTTTGGGGCACGAATTGGGCAGGAAGACGTGAGACCGAAGGAATCTTTGATTGAGGAGGGTGGGTTTGACCTGCTAATATCCTCTAAACAAGGCTTCGGGTGAGTTTTGAGCCATCCTGACTAGATCCCGTTTGCTTCCGATCAGAATAGAGCTGGAAGGGACCTTGGAGGTCTTCTAGTCCAGCCCCCTGCTTAAGCAGAAGTAGTCTCCCTCCCCTTTAGTCTAGAGAAAAGAAGGACTAGGGAGGACATGATATTCCAATGTTTGAGAGGTTGCCACAAACAGAAAGGGGTCCCTTTATTTTCCAAAGCACCAGAAGGCAAGACAAGTAACAATGGATGGAAACTAATCAAGGAGAGAAGCAACCTGGAATTAAGGTTTAAAAGCTCTTTCATGAGCTGCTAATATCCTCTAGATAGGATCATGTTTTGGGTGCGCTTTAAGGCATCCTTTGTTGATTAGATTCCCTTTGTTTCTGATCAGAATAGAGCTGGAAGGGACCTTGGAGGTCTTCTAGTCCAGCCCCCTGCTTAAGCAGGAGTACTCCCCCCCCCCATCTAGGGAAAAGAAGGACTGGGGGGGACATGATAGCAATATTCCAGTATTTGAGAGGCTGCCACAAAGAAGAGGGAGTCAAGCGTCTCTCCAAAACACCTGAAGGCAGTACAAGAAGCAATGGATGGAAACTAACCAAGGAGAGAAGCAACCCAAAATGAAGGAGAAACTTCCTAACAGAAATGTCTGTGGAGATTCTCAGTCATCCAGGTCACGGTTGCCTCAAAGGTGCTTTTTTCAAGAGGCAACTGGACTTTCTGGTGTTTTTTTTTTCTTTGAAGACGGTTCGCTTCTCATCCAAGAAGCTTCTTCATCCTAACAGAAACTTCCTAAGTTGAGGTGAGGACAATTAACCAGTGGAACAGCTTGCCATAAGAAGTTGTAGGTGCTTCATCCCTGGGAGTTTTGAAGAGAAGACGGGACAGCCACTTGTCTGAAATGGTATATAGGGTCTCCTGCTTGAACAGGGGGCTGGACTAGAAGACCTCCAAGGTCCCTTCCAGCTCTATTCTGACTCTGGTTCTGATTCATTTCAAACACGGGGCTCTCTTCTTTAAAAACAAAAAAATCTCCAGTGATGAGGCACGCAGAAGCTCTTCCACTGGTTAATTGTCCTCACTGTTAGGAAGTTTCTCCTTACTTCCAAGGTGCTTCTGATTTACATCCCATCTTCCATGCAGGAGCTTAAAGCCATTAATATCCCTTGTACCCTCCTTCCTATTTCCCCCCACAACAGCCCTGTGAGGTAGGTTCGATTGAGAGAGAGGGACTGGCTCAGTGCCCCAGAGAGTTTCTGTGGTGGGTGGGTGAACTAGGTCCTGAATCTTCCTACACCATTTCAGCACTTCGTACTACACCTTTCTGGTAATGGAGAGAAAGGGAGAGGGGGGTATTGTGTATACAAGTAGTCCTTGACTTACAACCATTCATTTAGTGATTGTTTTAAGTTACAACAGTAGCTAAAAAAAAGGTGACTTTTGACCATTTTGCACACTTGCAACCATTGCTGTCACAAGATCAAAATTCGGACCCTTGGCAACTGGCTCATGTTTATTACGGTTGCAGTGTCCCAGGGTCGCGAGATCCCCTCTGGCGACTTTTTGATAAGCAAAGTCAAAGGGGAAAGCCAGTTTCACTTAACGACTGTGTTACTACAGCGATTCACTTAACCACCATGGCATTGTAAAATGGGGCAAAACTCAGTTTAACAACGGTCCTGCTCAGCCACGGAAATGTTGGGCTCAATTGTGGGTCGTAAGTCGAGGACCACCTGTAGGTGTGCCCTTATGTGATTTATTTTGAACTTATTTCTTTTCCCAGCAGGCAGGAATAGAAATGGAGAATCAGGGACCGGTACGAAAGGTTCAAAGGGGACGGAAAAATTCTCATCCCGTTCAGCTCGGAGCCATCCAAGACTTCTCGGTTGCACTAGATTCCCGGTTTATTAAGCAGGAGCCAGAAGAAAACCTCCAGCAGCCTTGGGACGTTCAGTGGCAGGATTTCCTGAAGGCAATGCAGCCCTCTCGTTCCGGACAGAAACGCGCTCAGCTACTCAGTCCTGCCCGGTCCGCGGACAATTCACAATCCTCGTTTAAGGAAACGGCTGATTTGAATCAGAGGCCAGGGAGAAAGAGACTAACCCAGATTCTGCCAAGCCCCATCAAAGATTGCCGAGACTTCATCTCCACAGTGAGAGTGAAGGAAGAAATTTTGGAGATGGAAGAAACCTTTGCCTCCGATTTGGAGCGCCAGCAGTTCAGGCAGTTCTGCTACCTGGAGGCTGAAGGACCCAAGGAGAGCTTTTTCCAGCTGCAGGAACTCTGCTGGCAGTGGTTGAAGCCCGAGAGACGCACCAAGAAGCAGATTCTGGACCTCTTAGTCCTGGAGCAGTTCCTGGCCATTTTGCCCCCAGAGATGCAGGGCTGGGTCAAAGAGGGCAAGCCAGGGAGCTGTGCCCAGATGGTGGCCCTGGCAGAGGATTACTTTCTGCGGGTGCAGGAGGCTGAGGGACTGCAAGAGAAGGTAAGCACGGCCCTCCTCCTCACCTGAAGTGTTGTGGCCTGCCAGTGGCCAGCGGAGCTGACAGCAGAGTCGGACAGTGAGGAGGTTGGGGAGGAGCATGGGCCAGTCCTGGAGTCTGGGGAAGGCTCNTGTGTGTGTAGATAGATAGATAGATAGATAGATAGATAGATAGATAGATAGATAGATAGATAGATAGATAGATAGATAGATAGATAGATAGATAGTACACTTGGCTTTTTGGTCATCTGCAAAGACTGTAGTAAGCACAATATTGCTGCATGTTTAGTTCCTTATTCAGAAGCTATGGGAGCAAAAAAGTGATTAATTGCTGATTGGGGGGTAAAGGAACTGTAGTTTCAACAATTTAAGAGGTGCCATCTTGGGGAAAGCTGACATGATTTTTAGGAGACCAGTCTGGAGGTAATTTTTTTTCTAGGTGTATTACAAAGCCAATCTGAATAGCCTCCTTTTATGCACATTGAAATGTAGGCAAATCCCTACAAGTTTAATCAAGGGAATTGCCAAACTGAATTGGGTAAGAATTTGCTCCAGCTGACTTTTGTGCTTTTTACAGTTACTTAATATAAATAAACCAGCATTTTATCATCTCTTACGCTGCGCACAGAAGTATGGCAAAGCCAAAATTCAGCAAAGAATTAGCAGCCTGAAAACATTCTTGGACTGCAGTCTAAGTAGAGAAATTACACAGGGAGTAAGCCCCTAGTTAGAGGGGGGAGGGATCTGGGGATTTATGGGAGGGGGGGAAAAAGTTGGAAAACATCCTGCAGCGTGCCTGTCTCCCAAGCTGCTGTAAAGGAGCATCTCCGCCTTCAGCCAAAACCAATTAAGGGCAATTAAAGACAATGTTGCTTAAAAGCTCTGTTGGTGCAGCACCAGGCAAGCTGCAGGTGCAACCGTGGTTTACAGCTGCCGGCTAGCCCAGCCTAGTTTTTTTTAAAAAATCAGTTGAATGCACACGCCAGGCATGTTGCCGGTTGTAAAAAAAAGTCAACGCAGGCGAGAGCATTGCCTCCGGGCACTGAATTCACATGACATTCTCTGGCTGCTTCTTCTGCCCTCGGCACTCCCTTCTATAAATGTGCCTTCAAGCTGGCAATTCCAGGCAGGGTGCAGGTCTCAGCCTGAGTAGGATACAAGTGTCATCCTGAATCTGTTCCCCAGGAATACTTTGCTGACTCTCTGACTGGCAGGTGAGCATTCCAGCTATTCCTGTCTCCTCCTAGTTTGAAGGCTGTGATTTTCAGCCAAAGGAATGCCTCACCAGAGGGCCTGGCTGTGGGTTTCTTTTGTCTGGCCAATGTGTTTGCAGTCACAGCCACCGAAGGAGACATCTCCTCCTTTAGTATTAAAAAGTCAGTCAGTCAAATACAAATCACAAATTCTTCTGAAGCCCTAAATGCATGATGACAGAATCAATAGTGGGTTCCGGGCGATACGACCCGGTACGGGTATACCTGTGGTAGCTGGGATCAGCAGCCACCGTACTGGAACAGTAGCTTGTTTGACCCACCTGCCCACCCGCGTTCCTTACCGCTTTTTGATGCAAATGTGCCAATTACACACGGGTGCACAGCATGCAGTGCCTGCGTGGCCGCCGCCGAGCAGCTGAGTGTCGCTAAGCGGTGGCATGCACATGCGTGTGCAACACGCATTTTCGATGAGCACACCCGGCCCTGTTGCAGCGTACCGGTTACAACGGAATCCGGAACCCACTACTGGACAGAATCCTATAATCCAGCATTGCTGGCTGGGGAATTTTGGGAGTTGAAGTACATACATCTGAAAGTGGTCATATTTGAAAGAGACAGTACAGGTACGTCCTCAACTTACAACAATTCATTTAGTCACTGTTCAAAGGGCACTAAAAAAATGACTGTTTTTCGCATGGCCGTTGCAACACTCCCATGGTCACACGATCAAAATTCAGATGCTTGGCCACTGGTTCATATTTATGACGGTTGCAGTGTCCCAGGGGTTATGTGGTCCCCTTTTGCCATCTTCTGACAAGCAAAGTCAATGGAGAAGCCAGAGTCACTTAACAACCATGCTACTAACTAAACAAATGCAATGATTCACTTAACAACTGTGGCAAGAAAAGTCGTAAAATGGGGCAAAGTCACTTGGCAACATAAGTTTTGGGCTCAATTGTGGTCATAACACGAGGACTCCCTGTACTAGTTGTAGTACACTGCAGATTGTGGTATGGTGCTCTTCACTTTAATATGAGACAAGGAAAGAGGTTGCCTACGTGGGGGTGAGGACAGATTACCAATCAGTCTCCCTAACATTTATTTAAACAATATACTTGATCTCCTCTCTCACAGCAGCATGTATAAAGTTAAAACCAACAATTAGAACAATCCAAATAATAAACGTCTAGAATCTCAAAAAGAAAATTCCTACTTGCGATTCAAATGACAGTAGCCAGCAGAGTTTGTTTAACCTCCTGGCCTAAATGCCTGAGGGGACAGCCAGGTTTTCAGTGCCTTGGGCTAGAGGAGGATGAGACAAGTATTGGTGGGCAAAATGCCCCGTCCAAATAAAAACAGAAATTGGCCTCTCTGAAATCCCATGTTGACAGAAGCAGCAACATGGCGGATCATTCCTGGTTTAAATCAACCTTCTGTGCTTTAGAGGAGAAAACAGTAATGCTGTTTTGAATAGAGGTCTAGCACTAAATCCATGTTTACAAGGAACCTGTGTAAGACTTGGCAAGGATTTCAGAAAATGTCAGACATTAAACAAAAATCTTCTGGCTATCTCGTCTCTTCTGCAGGCCAAGACAAAATGCCCATGGAGACATGAAACCTTGGTGAAAGGACAGCAGCCACTGGGAAAATAAAGTGATCAGCTACTGCTTTACTCAAGTAATACTATGCATTTTATTTATTTGTATCCCATCTTTTTTATTTTTGTAAATAACTCAAAGTGGTGAACATGCCTAATACTCCTTCCTCCTGTTTTCCTCACAACAAAACCCTGTGAGGTGGATTGGGCTGAGAGAGAGTAACTGGTCAGGGGTCTCCAACCTTAGCAACTTTAAGCCTGGCTGATGTCTTCCAGGCTTAAAGTTGCCAAGGTTGGAGACCCCTCACCTAGCTGGTTGTCTTTCCCAAGGCAGGACTAGAACTCATGGTCTATTAGTTCCAAGTGTGATGTCTTAACCACTAGACCAAACTTGCTCTATTCAAAACCGAGAAACAGGGAATACAGTTTTTGCTAAGTCCTCGACTTGCGACCAGCCCTAAGTCCTCGACTTACGACTGGCCGCAAGTCCTCGACTTACGTTTGACAGCCGGCAACAGCTCAGCCGCGCCTGATTGGATAAGGCGCGGCTGACTGTTGCCGCTGTCAATCGAAAGTCGAGGATTTGTGGCCGGCCATAAGTTTAAGACGCGACTGAGCTAAGCGCGGGCTGTCTAGCATGTTCCTATTGGTCGCTCTGCTTGACAGCTCCGGTATAAATAGCAGTCAAGCAGGGCGAGGTGCTGAATCTGATCTAGTTACCGTTGACTTGTTCTGTGTTAACAAAAGCTGTTCAACTTACCTCAGCCAGTCTCAGGTCTCCTCAATCTGTCCAGAATTCAACAGTTTTAAGTTGCCTCAGTTGAAGATGAGATGAAGGAGATGCCATGGAAGACATTATTGTGAACTTCTGCCTTCATCTCTTGATGCATTCTTACTTGTCACTGTTCCTTCTTCAGTTCTGCATCTGAAAGTAGTCCAGAGATCGGAAGTTCTTTCACATGACTGCTTTTCCTTCTTTTTTTTTAATACCTGCCTCCTGCTTCCAAAGGCCCTTGTAGGGAAATCCCTCTCAAAATCCTCTGCCCTAATCCTATAACCCCAGGGATGGGCTGCTGGGGGTTCGCAGGGGTTCGGGAGAACCTCTAGCTCAGATTCTGTACAGAGACAACCACCAAATCTCACTCTTGGCTGGCCCCACCCACCCTGCCCCTCCCAGGAGTCCTCATGTGGCAGGGCATCGGGGAGGACAAAAAACAGGCCTCCTGGAAGTTCAGAAAGGCTGGAAATGGAGCCTGGGGAGGCCGTTTTTGCCCTCCTGGACACTGAAGGAAAGCCTTCGGAGCCCGGGGAGGGCAAAAATGCTCCCCCACCATGGTGCAGGAGACCGACTAGGCCACACCCACCATGTCCATTTCTATCCAGCAACTGGACAGAGAACCCCTTGCTAAAATTTTTGAAGCCCACCCCTGCCTAACCCAACCTAACCCTCTGCCAGAAAGCTGCTAATTCCTAATATCCTCCCCCCCATCCTTTTCATATTCCCATCCTTTTATTTAAGTGATCCTCACCTCAAATTAGTGGGATGCTAAGCAGCAGACGCTTTCCTAATCTGAGTGCCCTTCAGGTAAGGGGGTATCAACCTGGTCTATTGTGGGAGAGACAGAAAAGCAACTTGAATGCCTGCCCAGTTTTTGCCATCTAGATTTTGATGATCTACATAAAATCTGACCCCCTTCAGCTGATTCAGGGGAGGGGGCCACTTCCCTTCCCTCTTTTGCCTTGGCGAGCAATTTGGCTCCTGCACAGTAAGCTTCACCTTCTGACCTGAAGTTATATACACAAATACCTCTGTTTGTATCCTCAGTACTGTTCTGTTCTCACTCTCCTGTACTCCTGATGAACACACCTTTTCATAGGCCACCCAAGGATAAATTTTAAAGAGAAGTTCAATAATAGGAAAATGTGGGCTCTTATTTTTCCCCCCTTTTGCAAATAGTTTTCTGTTGATTTGGAAGCATCATGTTTCTGCTGGGAAATTAGAATCTTTGTCTCGGAAAATATCTCATACTGTTGCAGACATAATATCAATAGGTTATGTATTTACATACCGCTTCACAGTCCTTTACAACCCCTCTCTAACAGAGTTGGCATATTGCTCCCAACAATCTGGGTCTCATTTTACTGATCTGGGAAGGATGGAAGGTTGAGTTAACCTTTAAGGGGTGAGAATTGAACTCCTGGAGTGAGCAGTTAGTTAGCCTGCAATACTGCATTCTAACCACTGTGTCACCACGTCTCTTATGTAATACCTGCATATTATCAATTAAGTGAAGTTTGGGGGCTGTTTTCTACAGTAGCTTTCTAGAATCTTAAGTAGAAACTATTCCCAATGGAATGCTATGGATCCAGTGGTGGCTAAAAGCACATCTACTTTCACAGAGAGTGCAATTTAGTGCAAAATAGATCAAATCTTTCTTGGAATTCACTTTTCATTTTATCTGGATTTATTTCATCTTGTTCTCTCTGATCCAGTCCATTATCAAACTTGGGCAACTTTCAAGGATAGTGACTGCATCATTCAAGGAACAGCAGAGGTGAATGTTATTGGCACACTGATGGTACACCATTTCAAAGCAGTACTTATTTAGCCAATTTATTTGCCACCCATCTCGCCTTTGCCTTGAGTAATTTCACCTAGATCTTGAACAGCATGATGAGAAGAGGAAGCCCTGTGAGATGACATACATTAATCAACTAAGTGCTGAGTAGTAGCTGCCCAATGCCATCTTCTGCATCAGAAGTGGACCTTCCTGAGTTGTGATATTGTGGGAGGGAGGAAGACATCTTTTTAGTTCTGGGTGGTATTAGCAGAAACTTACACTTATTTTAATTGATATTTTTTTATTACTATCACCTCAAATTTGCCAAACCAGTATGGTCAATTTCTGGTAGGTCACAAAATAGCAATAGTAATAGCAGTTAGACTTATATACCGCTTCATAGGGCTTTCAGCCCTCTCTAAGCGGTTTACAGAGTCAGCATATCGCCCCCACNCTGACTCAATTTGCTAAAAATCTGTAAACCGCTTAGAGAGGGCTGAAAGCCCTATGAAGCGGTATATAAGTCTAATAAATAAATAAATAAACAAGGCATGCGGCAGGGCAAGCAAGATAAAGGAGTTCCAGAAGAGAAGTAGCATGGCAGCAAATCAAACCAGTTGGGAGGATGCGAAGAACTCCGATAAGCAGTTAACACCAGATGAACTCAGTGTTTGTTCCTGACAACTGCCCCTCCCATTTGCCTCTCCTTTAAACTCCATCCCCAGGTGTGCCTTGTGAAGGGAATCTGGGCCCTTTCCTACCTCGTAAGCCACAAAACCCACGTTGCTCTCTTTTCTGTTCTTCCCTGCGTGCCCTAGGATGAGGAGGGGGTGGGCTCCATCTGAACCTCCTCTCCTTTGTTCTACCTCTCCCCTGCTCTGCCCAGCCTGACTTTGCCCTTCCCCAGTTTCCTCCACAGCCAGCAGAGCCGCTCTCCCGCTTTCTGTCAGCTGTTCATCTGACTCGATGGGGGCATGACACCAGGTCTTGAGGGCCTTGCCAATGATCAAAAAGGATAGGATCAATCTAACTTCAGGAGAAAGGATGTTCCATAAGGCGGGTGCTACCGCAGAGAAGGCACCCCTCCTGGGGCCTATCAAATTTAACCCCTTGCCGACAGTACCCTCAGCATGCCATCTCTGCATGATCTAATGGAGCGGGCTGATGTAACCGGAAAGAAACTGCCCTTCAGATTGTGCCTCCCTTAGAGAATTGAATGTGTTTGGCCCTTAGGGATGCAGTGTTTCTAGCTAAGTTATCAAGCTGTATTTATTCTGGAATTATAGAATAAGCAGCCTGATGTCAGGCCCCAAAAACCAAGAATGACACACAGAGTTACTTCCGTGTAGTTTCTCTATTGTTTTTCACCGACAGACAGAACCTTGCCAGTCTAAAGCAACTATCAGTATAATGATAGATATAACCTATGAAGTGCTAGAGAGCGACTGTCTTAGCCCTCTTCCTGCCTACCAGACATTCCGAGGTCTGCTGCCTCTGAGCAGCAGCCCCTCCCTCCTGGGACTCCAGACCACATTCCACCACATCAGTTTATGTCAGCCCCACTAGATAGAACAGATCAGGAAATCAATGCCACAGCATTGACATGAGACTAAATGTATTGAGATTGGCTATAATAACAGCATCCTGCAAGTCTGATTATGTTGTACATAATCTCCACTCTTATACACTTGCGAATTATAGAGGTGTCTTAGCAGCTTTTGAATGTCATCTGGGTTTTAAAAGATGTTTTAGCTCCCTTTGCTTAGGTAACTGCTGTCGCATTTCTCCATCAAGGTCGTTTTCTGTACTCTCTCCCAATCACGATTCTCCTATTTTTCCCTCCAGGCAATGACCAAGGTTATGAAAACGAGGATGAGGACTTCCCCTTTGAAAGACACTCACAAGTAGGCATCAGTGGACTGTCCTTGGCAAGACTCAATGGGAAGTTATATCAGGTCTGTGGACTGGAAGAGATGGCAGGAAGTGAGCTTCCCCATCAAGAGATCCAACAGGAAAACCAACCGGGGATCCCAGCTTTCTTTCATGAGGAAAGCTTACGAGAAAACACCTTCCCGACGGGACGCCAGAAAGGAAAGAGAAAGAAGATGGGTCCCCCCAGTTGGGGGACGGTTCTGAACCATGGTTTTGAGTTTCCTCCGAACCAGAAAATGCAGAAACTCTACACGTGCAGCTACTGCGGGAAGGTCTCTAATAACAGCGCGCACATGATCATCCACGAGAGGACTCACACCGGCGAGAAGCCGTACAAATGCTCGGAATGTGGGAAGTGCTTCAGCACAAACTGCAACCTGATGAAACACACCCGGGTGCACACAGGGGAGAAGCCCTACCAGTGTCCCGAGTGCGGCAGGAGCTTCAGCGACAAGGCCTCGCTCATCGTGCACGAGAGGACCCACACGGGGGAGAAGCCCTATGAGTGCCCCATGTGTGGGAAAAGCTTCACCTCCAGCTCCAACCTCATTACCCACAAGCGGGTGCACACTGGGGAGAAGCCCTACAAGTGTTCCGAGTGCGGGCAGAGTTTCGTTCACCGGCCGCAGCTGGTGATCCACATCCGGACGCACACCGGAGAAAAGCCATACGAGTGTCCCGAGTGCGGTAAAAGCTTCAACCAGAAAGCCGATCTTATCATCCACCGGCGCATCCACACCGGGGAGAAGCCGTACAAGTGTCCCGAGTGCGGGAAAAGCTTCATCTCGAGCTCTTACCTTCGGAAGCACGAGCGGCTGCACGCGGGGAAGAAAGCGCCCGCGGGCGAAGAAAGCCACAAGTGCGGTTACTGCAGGAAGAGCTTCATCAGCCGATCTAAGCTGCTCATCCACGAGAGGACCCACACGGGGGAGAAACCCTTCGAGTGCACCGACTGTGGGAAGAGCTTCAGCACCAGCTCCAACTTGGTCAACCACAAGAGAGTCCACACGGGCGAGAAGCCGTACCAGTGTTCGGATTGCGGGCAGAAATTCAGCACGAACTCAAACCTGGTCAATCACCGGCGGGTTCACACAGGAGAAAAGCCGTACCAGTGCGCCGATTGTGGCCAGAATTTTGGTCATAAAGCTTCTCTCCGGAGGCACAAGAGAATCCACTCCAGGGAAGCCACCTGATGCTTGCTTGCAGCCGGGGCAAAATGTTAAAGCCAAACTTACAGCCACGTGGAAAGCTGCCTTATGCTACGATAAGAGTCCTGGCCCATTGAGTCAGGGTCACTGGGAAGGAACCCTTCATGGACAGATGTCAATCGCTGTCCTACCTGGAGAGATCAGGCATAGGATGTACGCTGCTGATCTGGGATCGATCAGCTGCGTTTCCAGATTTTATTAAAAAATTCCCCTGCAGAAGGGAACAGCCGCAGCGGCATTCGGTCTGCAATTCAGGGGGACATATGCTTACTTGGAGAACAATTAAGTGGGGTTCTACCAAGCCCGCAATTTGTTGCAGACATCCCAGAAATCACTCAGGGCTCTATTAAGTCCAGCAAAAGACTTCGGTGTCTTTTTCTAACACTCATGTTGTACCTGAATGATCCACCAAGAGATTTGGGTCTCTCCTGGTCTATTACACTGAATAGTGACTAGTTAGGATTTATTTCGCAGTGGAGTTGTTGGGATCTAGATTCCTTCAGGGGTTGGAATTGAGAGGGGCTTGGGTAGCCCCTTAGGAAGTTCAGAAACAATTGAGAAATATTCCTTGATAAGGAAGCACCATTCGAAATGCATTAGCAACACCATTGTGGTGGAATGTAGTCTGGAGTCCCAAGAAGGAGGGGCTAGTTCCCAGAGGGCAAAAAAAGGTCAGCGGAGCTTGGAATGTCTGTTAGGCAGGAGAGGGCTAAGACGGCCCCTCCCAAGCAGTTCCCAGAGTTATACTTAGTTCTTCAACTTACAACCATTCACTTAGTGGTTTTTCAAAGTTACAATGGCAGTTTTCCACTCTTGTGAGCATCGCAGCATCCCCGTGGTCACGTGATCAAAATTCAGCTGCTTGGCAACTGATTCATGTTTATGATGGTTGCAATGTTCACGGGGTCTTGTCTCTGTCTCTCACACACACACGCACCCCCGCCCTTTGCAACCTTCTGATGAGCAAACTCAATGGTGAATATAGCAATAGCAGTAGACTTATATACCGCTTCATAGGGCTTTCAGCCCTCTCTAAGCGGTTTACAGAGAGTCAGCATATCACGCACACAGTC